ACTTGGCAAATACTGTATATGCATTGCCTTGTGTTTTTTTTGTATATTATTGTGCCTCTTTGAAAAAAGTGTGGAAATTCTTTTCCTTGGTCACCATACTGAAAATTGGAAAATAAAAGAATATATTTTCCGCAAACACAGTACATCTTATAAATTCAATGATTCACAGCCACCAGGTACTGTCTAACAACTTTGAAGTGACTACATAAAGTTGATACTCATTTTGAAAAAATAGAGAACTTAAAAAGAATGACAGAAATATATACTTTATATGAACTAACATTTATATAGGCACTCACTGGTTATCATACAAAAACTTTGAGACTTTTACTAACTTTTTTTCTGTTAGAATACAGACATAAATACATATTCTGCAAGGATATTTAAATACACAACACTAACCTTGCAGCACTATCTTGCATTCTTTGATAATTTGATTAACTAAATATTAGTCCTATGTATTGCAAATTACAAAAATTCTATTTTTACCTATTTCAATATACATTTGAGCCTCTTACTTTCTATACTAATGGTTCTGAAATTGACTGAACAGTCTTGAAAAATAAATGATTCATAATAATAAATAGGAGGTAAGATAGAAAAAACTGTCTTTCATTTAAGCCTTTCTAGTCACCTTTCATTGTTTACAGAAATAGCACATTTGTGCAGTGTTGCAATAGTTTAAATAAAGATCTGAACATTTTAAAGTATTCCAAAATGAATGAGAAAGCAATTGTCCCCCTTGACAATTCCAGTAATACTAATTCATTTGCCACCATGTCTAATATCAATGATTTCCCAACAGGAAAATTACATATAAAAAATTAGTCTTCTCTCTGGTCATTCAAACTAACTTAGATATTCTCTTTCTGTGAAGCACTGAACACCCAAGTATACACTCTATACATACCATTCACTGGATACCAATACCAAGATGTGGTTCCCTCTGTTCCCTTATCACATTTAACTTCTACAGCACCACTATCTTCAACCTTTGGCTGGGTCTCACTGGGCTGGGTCTCACAGTCCTCTTTGACTGACTGCGATTCTGTTTGGAAGATCCACCCTAGTCCAACAATATACCAAGCTTGAGCAATTAATGTTGTGGCCTTCGTTCCACTGTGCGTCTCAATGTCCTCCACATGATTTTCTTTAGTGTTATTTCTCCCCCTGTCTGATGCATCGTGTGCTGTATTGACATCCATCCCAGATGCGGAAAATGGGAAATATAACCAAGATGACCACCCACTAGAACTGCTTCTATTTTCTAAATCATTTTTCATATTATTACTATAGGTTTCAATTTCATTCTCTGTGCTTTCTTCTAATACACCTGTGGCTGACGATCCTGTACTAGCAGGCCCAGGTGGATCATCTGGAGGCTTTGATTTGTCAGTTACATCTTTCTTTTGAGAACTGTCACAGCCTGGTGAGGCAGAGACTTCATCAGGTACTGTGTTTTCACTTGACTGTGTCTTGGTCTTTTCTCTCTTCTTGCTTTCTCTTCTTTGGGAATCCTGGGATAATTGCTCCTCCTTTCCAACATCTGCATTAACATGTCTTGATAGATTTTCTTCAGCCTTGGTTTCATCAGTTGCATCTTTCTTTTGTGAACTTTCAAAGCCTGGTGATGCAGACACTTCATTAGGTATACTTTGTTCACTTGGTTGTGCCCCTGTGTCTTCCTTCTCTCTATTTTCTTCTCTTTGGAAACCCCAAAATAATTCATCTCCCTTGCTAGTATCTGAGTCTTGTCCTGTTGAAGTCCTCATGTAACCCTTTCCAGTCCGCATGTCTTTGTCAGCTTGAAGAACTCTGTTCACAGCAAGGAAAAGGTTTTCAAGTTGCTTTAGAGTCTTTTCATCTAGGCTAGAATGGTCATAATGGCCACGATTTTCAAGTTCTTGCATTTTTTCCAAAGAAGTTAGTTTACGATGAAATGCGTTTTCTTGAAATTCTTTCAATTTATTCCTTAATTTGTCAAGTTTTGCAAGCAACACAGACTTGTTTTCAATTTTTTCCAAGGTACTTGTAGCCAACTCTTCCACTTTTTGTGACAATTTTGTTTTTTCATCCATGTCAGGTGCCACAACCTCCATAGCTTCCAATATATCTACCACAACTTTTTTTCTACTCAGCTGCAGAGACAGATCTTGAGACAGAGATGCCTGGTTACTATCTGCATCTATTGTAGAAGGTAAATGGTCACCCTCTTTGTTAGAGTCAGAGCTCTTAACTTCACCTGCCATTTGCATTTCCATCTCTACATCTATTTCACTACTTTCAAGAAATTCACTGCTAACTTCTCGAGTCTCTTTCTTTGCTGTAGGAGCGTTTTCATCTATCAATGTATCCTTTACAGTGCCTCTATCTTCACTATTAGTCCTTACCAAAGAACCTGTTCCTGCACATTTTTCTTCTGGTAAATCACCTATTGCACTATGCGTCTCCTCTTCACCGTGGATCTCGTGTATACTGACCCCATGCTCAAGAACTTGACCCATTATGTTGCCCACAGAAACTTGCTCCAACTCCTTTGTGGCAGGAACGGGAACCCCTTCTTCTTCGACGCTTACTGAAATGGTTGGTTTTTCAATTTCTGGCGGTCTCTCTGGATATCGTAGCTGAACAGGGAGACTGATGTAAGCATCTCCTCCATTCTCATGATCTGTCTGAAGGCTTAGGGCTGCTTGGTGTACTTTTCGTAAGAAGTTTGGAAAACCTGCAAGTTTTTGAAGTTACAATAAATCATCATAACCAGACACAGATACCATAAAAAAATGTTCTTATGATTTCATTTGGACTTTGACATTATTCACTAGTCAAGTGAATGACTAAACATCTACTCAAATTCTTACCTGTAGCTGCAATGAAGTTTGTTATACTTTGTGGAAGACTAGTCCCAGGGTTGTCGAAATACGTCAGAGTGTATTCTATACCTGGCTACAAAAACGAAAGGAGGTATGAAATACTTTAGTAAAAATAACAAAGAAATCTTAACTCACATACAAAAAAAGATATATATATATATATATATATATATATATACATATATATATCATTCCTTATATTCACAATACACAGCAGAAATCCTATTAAATATCTCACAAAATATAAAATCCATCTCCTTCTGAATATTCACATTTCAATTTCACTGACTCTTAACATTAGCCTAAAACTACTACTGTGAATTTTGTCTAGATTTAGTTGATCCAAGCTATAATTTATTTTCCATTTAAAAAGAAGAATCACCTCTCATGGAAATTAACAGATTAGGAGGCCTATGTACAGATATAAACCTTTTCCTACTTACCTTATCAATACTCTCACAGGCTCTAATGACCATCGTTGACCAATATTCATTGACACGATAAATTCCTTTCTCTTCTGGGAACACATTAGACCCTATTGCTTGACTCATTATAACAGCTTCTTGTCTTTCTTCATTATATGTGAAGCGCCTTTTAAAGACATAGTCTCTATTTGCAAAGAATTGCTGAAACCAAAGCCAAAGGCATTAGTTATAAAGTGTATGCTAATTCCATTATTTCACAGTTTTACGTAACACAGGTAATCTTTGCACAAGGGATAAATACACATATGCAAACACATAAGAGGTACATAAAAACTCACAGGGAACTTGACAAGCCAGTAAACAAGATCAGAGTTGGATTCTGTGTGGGAATCCAGCACCCGCAACTCAAGCACAGAATCATCCCACTCTTTTCTGAAGCCGCTGTTCAGCTGTGCTTCCATGAATGCACTGAGGCTCACATCATCATAAGTTCCATACACTGAAACGAATATTCAACACATTACATCATTTATATAAACATATATATAATATTTAAAGCAGCTGACTATATACAAGACAAACTTGGGATTACAAATAACCAAGAAAATACAAAATTCCTGATGTTTTAGGCCAATGCTTAATTTACAATTAATGCTCAGTATATACAATGAAAGTTAAATGAAAATTTTCAATTGCACTTGGCTTTTCTACTGGCTTTTTAGACATGTAGGAAGTGAAAATCAAAATAAACAAGGACAACAATCACATAAATGAAGAGAGAGTGCAGTATACATCATAGTTATCATATTGAAACTGCTGTGATGCATGCATAAAAAAGGGGAAAAAACAATAACATTAATAATAACAATAATATCTATAATCATTACCATTAGCATAATAATAATTATGATAACTATAATAATTACAATAATAATGATAATAACAATAATAATAATAATGATAATAATAATAATAACAATAATAATAACAATAATAATAACAATAACAATAACAATAATAATAATAATAATAATAATAATAATAATAATAATAATAATAATAATAATAATAATAATAATAATAATAATAATAATAATAATAATAATAATAATAATAATTATAATATAATTAAATAATAAAAAAAAAATTAATAATAATAATAATAATAATAAAAAATATAAATAAAATAATAATCAATAATTTCAATCTCATACCCGATTGCCATCTAAAAAAATATATAAATCATATAATTTCCAATCAAATGAATGTTCTTTATTAGAGTATAAAATTTTAACACACAAAAGCAAAACTACTGTCAGACAGAATAACACACCTTTATAAGCAAACAAATGCTGATGCACATGGTGTCGCTGGCGCCACACAATATGGTGATCTCTTTCGATGAATGGTTCCCAAGAATCATATTCCCTATTCTTTCCTGCATAGCCTATAGTTCCTCTGCACATACAATAATCCACATTTGACATCTGAAAAAGGGATACATCTTTGATTACTTGCTATATTAAATAACAATCATCTTTCAAGAAAACTTTTGAGTAGTTGGTTGTTTATGTTTGTGTATGGCCATGAAAATATATAAGTGCTAGTCCATTTGTTTGTGTTTTTTATATGTACACGTGTACTCCCCAAAGTATCGTCAAAATAATGTGCTTTCCAATATGAAAGTGTGCAAAGCACTATTTGACCATCTGCCTGCTATTGGCTGCCATCATTGCTGTCAAGTTTGTATCATCACATCACTTAAAAACAGACAAATAAGAGCAGAGCTTCATCATATCATGATGGCTAGGATGAGATATCACAATTGCCAATTGCAAGGCAGAGTGCGCTAATGTATGCTTGTCCTCACTCAACTTTACTAAATATTTCATATGCCATTACTGTGTTAAGCAATCATCATCAACCATTTCACACTGTACAGCTCATTATTTCAAAAGCTTTTTTTCTTCAGAGAAAATCAAATGTGCTGTGATAGGTGAAGTGTGTACCCAAGTACATGAGTCTATTCATGAGCTAGGTGTATGAATGTTTGTATTAATGCAACTTTTTACCATTAGTTTCCCTATATCCAATGATATATAAAGAATTAATTGTCACTGGTATTACAAAAGAAATATCAACCTGTTAATATACCTGCTGATCAATTACTTGTCGTTTCCCACAATTCTCACACTGAACTGTTGCTTTGCAGAGTTCCCCTACAGAATCTAAGTCATCAGTCGCTCTGTTAAAAAGAAAATCATTGTTATATACATAATTAACATACCAGTTTATCACCTAAATGCTTGAAGATGCACCATATTTTGCCAAGTAATATTTACTTTGTGTCATCACTATCTCCACATGTATTTTTTTTTATAGAAACAACTATATACAAACTTATAATCAAATATTAACCAACAGTCAAAGGTACACTATATTCCCTTTTAGCACATATTAGGGATATAGAAGGCTTAAGTACTGGAATATTTGAATTTAATAATAACCCAACTGTGGCAAGTGCATGTACTGTGGCTCTGTTTTATTTATTTTATTTTGTTTAGCCACCATGGAGTCAATTACCAGTCAATATCTATATTTTAAATTTTCTAACATTCCAAAGAGTTTAAGATTGTAATCCTGTCATATGTTCATGATTAAGTACAGGCAAATTCTTTTACTTAATATAATGAACTTCGTGTTGCTTCAATGACTTCTCAAACTTCAGCACCCACCTTTCTAAGCTCTCATCTGATATCTTCTCCTTATCCCAGTCATATTGTGTAATGCAAACTGCTGACAAAAGTAGATGTCGTCCTCTCATTAAAAACATCCTCCTGAGGTTCGACAGCATTCTCCTTGCAGCCTATTTTGAGAGCAAATAAACAAAGATTACAAATACACTACTTGGCTAAAACATGTTAAAAATGTTTATACCAAATAGTACATCTTTTTAGTATGGGAGCTTTATTTTCATACTTAATATTCATTCCTAGTTAGGTAAAAGAAAAAAAAAAATGAAGTTGAAATAACATATAATGTCAAAAAATAAATATATAATAATAATGAAAAAACTTGTATAATACACAATATAAAAATAGCGTACCTCTTCTCCCCACATGCGGGAGTAAACAGTGTACAACTGCATGGAACGGCGTATCCTCTCTGAAGTGTGCACCTCACACTGGCGAACAATTATCCTCACTAGGTAGCGTGTAACATCCTTCAGTTTCTCTACTGTTTGTAGCTGAACATTCTGACCCATCAGCAGGACGAGAAAATGCCAGCTGAGGTTGTTCTTGTTGACTGGTAAGGAGAAGAAATATAACATACAGAATTCTGAAGATCCATTTACAACCACTAATAAATAAATCAGTAAAGCCATTGGCACAAAAAATAAATGGAAATCCACTCAATTGTCTCAACATTGGTCATGATTTCATGTTACAATATTCTGATTAATCTATTCTGGAAGCCTAATCCAAAGGTAAACAGGAGCCGAAATCAACTGGAAATTATTATATAGATGGCGGCTACCAGTAGGGATGAGTGGAAAGAGTTTGGGTTAAGAGTTAGCAGACTTACTGCTTAAATTTGATGGGTTATATTCCACTAATATTCTGAATATAAAATCTTATTAACAATTTCATCATTTTGGAAGACTGTTGAAGAAAAACATTACTATAATATATTCTTTCAGATGTAAAGAAGTCCTCTTCAGACCTAAAGAAATGCCAATATGAAAATCTCAATGTTTAATCAAACTGGTAGTATCATTTACAAAATTATTATAGTAATCTAACTAGAAAAAATAACTACACAAATTAGTAATTCCCTAAAAGCAAATATCAAGATACTTTTAAATATTAATCACTTTTGGGCATTAATATTTATTTACATTATCCTTGTAAATTAACTTCTATATACAGCAACATACAAGCAGCAGCATCACCTAGCAACTGCTCCCACTGCAGCAAATATATGTAGCTAAGTATTTTATCTTTATTATTTGGCACTCTACCTTGCCAGTGTTCAAGCCTGCCAAGAATGACAAGAGTATGGGGTTGGTGACTTTTCCCGACTATTCAAACAAATATACAATGTAAACAGTAGAATATATCCTAGGAATGTCAATTATAAAAGGTAAATATGAAATTCTTATATTTCAAATTTTAATAATCACAGTGTGAAAAGGGTGAAGTTCAGAAACTGCCAAATTTTCTTCAGAACAAGTTATAAAAAAATAAAAAATAAATAAAATAATTAAACTAGTGTCTTACCCACACCTTCACTCCCACCCTAATATTAACATAAATTGAGAAAACCAGATGACTGATAGATCATCAAGATCTTCCTTAACTATTAAAACTCTCATTTATTTAATTGATAAAAGTTACTAAATTGACTTAACATTTCACTGATACTGCTGTAAATAACCAAAGGTATGACTGAATTTTTATGAATTTCTTTATATTCTAATATTCACATCTCACAAAGAAAGCTTTAAAAATCGGGAGAAAGAAATACTGAGTATTCAATGTACTATAACAAAAGAAACTGAATATTAATTTAAATACCTGGAAACCTTAATAACATTCAGACTCACATAAAACAATTCAACATTCCTGTTACATAATCCTGTCTCTTATATAAGGACGATGAAACTATATCACTTTTCTCATTAATGTTCACTTATATCTATGGCATATTTTTTTTAAGACGTGTGGGACATCCATATATATCTAACAATTACAAGCATAGCTATCCTCCAAATGGTTGTTTACATTTTTTCTAAGGGAAAAGTGATTGATGCTTAAGTAAACATTATGTTGCAGGCCTACTATATGAAACAAAATGGTAGATATAGTCACATTGCATTCCTCTCATCCTCACATCCCCAGAGAAGCAATAAGCCACACATATTGGGCTTAGTCCTATAAGACAGCTGATAACCAGCCTCCCACTTATCTTAATAACATTAATAACAATAATGCTGATAATAACGTTAATCGCAAAGATCTCTCTCACGGGTATCACAAGGTATGCCATCTTTCAGGGTATAAAAATTAAGTGAAAATTATTTAAAAGGGTGGATCTCTAAAGGGTTACACTTTAGAAAGACCTTGATTACTGAATGGACAAAAATGGAATCCAAATAAGAACAAATAGTATAATTGATATCTGTAATTTTTGAGAACCAGTCCACTTCTAAAACTCATCAATTTTGGTTTTGTCAAGAGTTCATTTGTAGTGGCTTTATTAAGCTCTAGGCATAAATAGTTTTCATACATGACCCCATAGGTGGGAAGGGCATGAAATAAAATCGGGAAATAATAGGGTTAAATCATGCAGCATTTATGCATCTTTGTCTCCGATTTGGAGCTGTGACAGCCCCATAAATCCCCTTTGTACGAAGGAGGCCCTCCCCAACCCATTGCCTGGATTGCAAGACCTCCACATCTGATCAGCACGGATGGGACCACAAGATGTACCTCGTGAGTGACATCAGGACCCAGCTGTGATGGAGGTAAACATCCTTCACCATGTGCTCAGACCTGAGTTCTGTGCCAGATTTGGGAGTTTTTGGACTTTCATATTGTGCTTATTTATTTATTTTGGTAACTTTTTGTGCTATTTTTGGTTTGCAGGCCTCACTGCAAGTCAACTGATACCAAATTTAATAGATTCTAAGATACAGACTGATTCTAGAAAAATACCCTAATTTCATCAGTCTTGTGGGCACTTACAGAAAAGACTTCTTTTTGTAACATAATTTACTTTCTTCCACGAGCCTTGTTTATCATGCATGATACTGAAGCACTATAGATACTGGTTTCATCTGTTGTTTTTACTGCATCAAAATGCATTCACGGCTGGTTGTCTTTATTAAGTAGTTTTGACAAACATATATACCAAAATCATATACTTTATGAGATTCATTGCTTTTTGTCATATATGGTATTTTTCTAGGCCTAAATCCACAAGTTTTGTTTCATGTTATATTTCTATTATGTATGATAGAAAGGTGTGTTACTTTCACTTGGTGTACAACGAAATTAAGTCTTTCTTTTTCCCTAACTATTTTACATAACTTTCCAGAGAGGTTCTGGCATTTTTCCAAGACTCTTTTCACAGTTTTCCTTGAACATTTGATGCATATTAATGATACACGTGTCCCATTACATCACATACACATGTAATTCAAAACTGATGTTGCCAAATACAAGTTTTGAGTAATGAATTGTGAGTGTGCTTTATTGACTAGTTGCTTATAATGGATCAGCATGTATCCATTTAGGCTATGTAATATGTCAAATTTTCTTTCAATTATCTCAATCTTCCAAAGTTTATTAGGAGTTCTTTCTGTGGACATTCTCAGAATATAAAATGAAAAATAAAAAATATATAAATAACTTAGACTTCTGATTTGATTAAAGACAAAAATACCAAATTTCTATGATTTTCCAGACTTAAAAACAAAATCCCATGATATTCCAGGTCTGGAAATTTTACTTTCCAATTCCATGATTTTCCATGATTCTCCAGGACCCATACAAACACTGTTTACAGCTGATTCTGTGCGATGTAGAGCCAGTCACATACAAAAAATACCTTGGTTGCTGGAGAAATTTTATGCAATAATTCTGGAAATAATAATGCACTACAAATGTTTAGGTGTGGGTTAGTGACCTTACTCATAAAAGTGTTCCATAATAATTTTTTACTACCTTTAAAAACAAATGCTAGAAAAACTACATCTTTCTGACTCTGAAACCTCTATCTGCTTCCCATAAAGATCCTAAATCCTCTATAAACCCCAGAAAAAAAACTAAAGAAAAATAAACAAAAGTGCTGTTATGTAAGTGCTGACTAATACACAAAAAATTGCTTCTACTGTTTCCAACCGAATCTCACAGCAAAAAAACAAAAAATACCTTTCACATTCACAAAACCAGCCGTATCATACCAGAGGACAATATTACCTTTGGAACAGGAAGACTTAGTTGCGTGTGGGCGTGCTTGGACAGCCGTCCTGAAGCCACCCGGAGGACGCCAGTGGGGAGTGAAGCCTCTCGACCTCATTATCACGTGAAGCCTCCTGCGAAACATCACCCCCAGCCCGTACTGCGAGGCGTAGAGGCTCCCGATCTGCCCCCGCCCGCCCATGACGCCTTGGCAAGCACTGAGCCTCAGAGTGCCGGCTCCTCCTGCTTGCGGCCTCCCTTTGGCACTGCCGATTTAATTCCTCCTCTGACAGTCGGCGCGTGTGATCATGTCGGTCGTCTTGGAGCAAATCCTCTTCAAAGGCTCTTGCGGGTGTGTGTGTCCATGCTCTGTCAGCGACATAGAAGAGAATAAAGTGAAGGGGAACGGGAGGACCCAAGACTCTCGGGAAACAACAAAACAGACAGACGACGAGTTCCCGTGTGCGATTCCCTTCCCGCGACTTCGAAATTGCTCTTATTATTTTACTCTTATTTTTAAGAAAATAACATCCTCACTAATCACATCACTACAAGTTCCATACTATAAATTTATCCAAAGTTTTCGTATATCTATCGTAGTGATGAGGTGTTTACCAAAAACTCATATCGATGGCAATTCTTAAGAATCGGACGCTGTAAACAATAAAGTGAAGAACGGGAAGCGCGAACACGTGTTCTGTAACATCTAATTATGATAATTCCATTCCATTCATTACACTCAAACTTAATGCCACAAGGATGATATTTGACAATTGATATAAATATATATATAAATATATAATATATATATATATATATATATATATATATATATATATATATATATATATATATATATATATATATATATATATATATATATATATATATATATATATATATATATATATATATACATATATATATATTATATATATATATATAATATAATATATATATATATATATATATTGTTGTTTGTTTACAGGGTAACTAAGATGCTGAGATTAAAGAATCACATTATGGCCATCTTTTTGTAAATATGTAAATAAATAGTTTATGTTACAGCCCTTATTTCCTCTTGACTAAGGAAAACACAAAAGACTAATTGTAACAAGGTTAAATGACCTGAAAATGTTAATCATTAACAATGACTTTTCAAATAAACCAGTAGCTATTTTTATTCTCAAAGCCATATAGCTCTTCTTACACTCACCCACAATCTTGACTATTTTCAAATTTCTTTAACAGTTCAATAAATTTCATAATAAGACAAATTTTTGTCTCTTTTCAACTTCACTGGTTTTATTACATTACTTTAAAATGACTAATATATTTAGAGACAATTGTATATTTCTATTTTTATCTAAGTCTTCACACCTTACCAATATATAGCAAGAGCAATTAACAAGTGACAACACTATGGTACCCTACTACACACTCATCACTAATAAAGAACAAGTCACTGTCTTACTCGCTAGCCAAAGATAAGGTACCTCGAGGCAAATCAACAGCTGTACTTTACATACCCATACAGTATGGGGTTGCATTACAGATTATATATTGTATCTAGGTACAGATCTCTTATTTCTTGCTCTATTTTGTCAGAAAATATTGAAAGGGAAGTCTCTTGAACTACACAGAATGTTCAATAAATTTTTGATATTACTGTTATATCTGTTTTATTTTTTATTAACATTTTGTATGTCATGCACTCATGATGAAATATAACTGCATTGAATTTATATTTTACAAGTGCATTACAGTAATAAGTTTTCTATTTTGGACATACAGAACCATATTTGTAAAATCAACCTTAAATATAAACTTGAAGAAGGATCATAAGATTTCAGATTTCCAAACCATTTTTGTAGAATCATATAGTTTGTGGTAAAAGAAAGTTATCACATTGTGTACTTGACAACTCAAAAGCATTGATTAAGAGTAGGATCCTAAAATCTAATTACCATTTTTTATTATTTAACAAATTTACTATAATTTCTAAAAATGTTTAGCAAAATGAGGAGCAGTTTTAAATAATTTTCCAATACTTATTCACTGTAATATCTCTATTATGGTTTCCATCAGTAAGGGCAGATGGATAGGTGACCATATCTCTGCATCATCTTCCATATCAACAGTTATCTTTTTTTATCAGTTATCTTTTTTATCAACATTAGTCTAGGACTTTTCATATTTGAGATTCATTTAATCTATAATGTGGCACTACATTATTACAATTTTACAAAATAATCCTAAGATTGGAAACCAGAATTAAGTGGTTTAGGAGTAAGAAAATATTCTAATACAAAATAAAGTTATGATATAAACAGTCAAGTATACAGACTAACAGATTATTATGATACTGTGCACTGTCATGTTCCTTATTTTTATCTGCATCCCTGAATATTTATGTTCACCAATATCTGTTTTCATTAACTTTCTATTCTTCTGATTTCAAGTTACAGTACCTTCATATACTGATGCTGACAACTGGCAAAAATATTTTAATTTCAGCTACAAGGTCTTAATGTAAAAATAATGGATTACTTTACTGTTCCACTGAAAATTAAGAAAGTCTGCAAGCACATCTCCAATCATTCTTTCGCTTCCAGTTTACATAATGCTTGAAATCAAATGATTACTTGTAGAAAGTTTGTGAAAGTTTGCATCAGTGACAATAGAAATCATATGCCACTTATCATTGGGAATGATTTTTAATAGAATCATGAACAAAATCAACTTTGAGAAAACATTTTCACTGGTTTTGTTAAACAAAATTTGTGAGCATGGCACTGATACCTTTATTAATTCATAATTTATACAAAACTTTCAATTCAGTGTCTTAAGACTGTATACAAGACAGTAATAAAGTAATAAAGATAGATATTTACACTAGAAATGCTGAACATGTTTTCAAAGACATCATGGACCTGAGTATGGTAATTAATTCATAACACAATAAAATGTGAATATAAAAATAATCATCAACAATGGACAGCTTGCTTGCATATTTTCTCTTGAAACCTTTACTTGCAAACCTTCTGCAAATGCTTGTGAATCTTAGATCTTAAAACCTGTGATTCTTAAGTATCATTTAGCTTCTTGATAATGTAACCAACTCTTAAATCTAAAAATTCTTTGGCACACGAATTATCTTGAAATATCAATATAATGTATACTTGAATTACATTGGAATATCAATTGCACAATATAAATGCTCTATGAATCTGTATCATTCCTTTATGACAAAGATACCTCTGCATTATAGCATATATATTTTTTCCCAATAGGAGTAATGATAAAACCCACAATTAAAATACATAAAAAACATATTATCATAAAAATTAACATGAAAACAGTAATTTACATATATGTATTGAATCTCAAAATAACAATGAAACTTATCCCTTTCAGCTGTCAATAAAATTTACACTACATGAAGGTCCAACAACACAAATGGTTACAGCCTTGGTTTGCAAACTCTTAAACCATTTTATATTTGTTCACCATTCCTATATGCATATTTTCCCTCAGCATTTCAACCAGATTACAAAATGACAAAAAACAATATCCTAACTCTGCAGCACGGATGATCACCTCGACCAACACTAACTCCATATAGAGCAGGCTCCTAAACTGCAAATGAGTTAGAAAAGTAACCACAACTCTACAGGATATAAAGCAAATGTAGTAAACAAGAGTTTTGACGATATAGACACTCCTGTTGCTTTTGACTTTAATTCAGTAAATATCCAGATAGATATATATGTAAAGGTATCAATAATATCATAGGTAAAGATATTGAGAGTACATGTAACTGAAACTGCAAAAAAAGGAGAAAAGAGGTTGAGAAACTAGCTGTCTCATTTAACTAGCAAATTATGTAATACTAAATTCATTTATTTGTTATCATAGTAATATGACTTCATGCTATCTCCTTAGTTTTGTTTTATGCTTAGGCTTATATCCAACTAAGAACTAGTTTGATGATCCTAATCATAGAGCTGAGGAGTGTCTATACTATGCCATCCATTTAAATACTACTGTAATTTCATCAAAATACAGGAATAAATATGTTAGAAAATTTGCCTAACAAAACTGTAATATTTGTTGATTCTTATAATTTGCTCACCAGTTTTTAAAAAATCCACATGTAATTTTCATCTTCACAAACTTAAAAACTAAGTAGGTCTTAATTCTCTCCACTTTACATAAAACGGATTAAATTTGCCAGTCTTTTAGCGAGGCCATGCAACAAACAGAATCTAAGTCAACTAAGTGATATAATACTTCACACTACTGCCCTGCCTGATACCAATACTACCAGTTGGTTTTCTAACCCAAACTGTGACTTGATTCTATTCTCACTACATGTATCGTTAGAAATAATCATCACCATTACACGGTAAATAATAGGACATAAAAATATATTAATAAAACTGTAACAGTATATATATATATATCTTTGTGATAAAAAAGAAAATGTGATTGTAAAAATATAAACAATCCTGCTTCAGGGTTACTGCCACTGGTAATTCTACATATATTCAATACTCCAATAAATCCATAAAACATTTTTACAAAATGATGACAGATACCAGAATATTCCACTATATAACCTCTAGTGTATATTTACACACACACACATATTCTGTATGTATGTATGTATGTATGTATTAAAAAATTGGTTATTTTTCCTAAATTTAATATCAAAAGATTCGTATTTACCAAGCATCCACTGTTGGGAGTGATGCCTAACAAGGTACTACCATCTTCACTGGGACCTCTGTTGATCTCCTGAAGCCAGTGCTCTGGTAGTGTGCAATACAGTGTAATGTCTCTACATATAGACGGTTCCAAGTGCTCAGCCACCAAGGCTCAATTAGTAGGCCTTGTTACATCACCTGATTTCACCTTTCCTTAAGATTTCAGGAAAAATGTTTTTTGTTTTTTTTTACAAATGCCATCACTATTGATGCTGTTATCATTATCATAACCATTATAATGATTATAATGTTATCAACATTACTAATAGGAATATTAGGTAAAAGAAAATATTTCCAGAAATCAAGGGAAAGGGTAAACAGGAGAGATAAGTAGTACTAGTAATTGATTCATTGGTGATTAAATACTTGTGGAGCTATTTATGTGTAAAGACAATTACTGGACTCAGAAAGGGCATGGCATATTTGTACATACCATCCCCGGCATCAAGTTAAGGAATTTAATAATCCATTTTTGTGACAAGACAAACCTTAATGACAAAGTTGTATGTCACAAAGGTCTTTCTCACTCTTAATTAGAAATTCTCTATATAGAAAGTTGTTCCTGTTAATACTGGACAGGTTTTTTTAGTTGTAAAAAAGGGTATCTTTTCAAATTCTAATACCAAAAGATGCATACTTTAACTACATCACTCTATGATATGTCTGTGATGTAATGCATGAGTGACTGAGTATTAGTGCTTTTACAAAGAGTTTTGTTGAGCCTATCAATACCATTCTATATTTTGGTACACTTTATTTTCAACCCAATGTTAAAGCAATAACGATCACATAAGTTGTACCTGTCAATTCTGAAATGCTCCTTTGTATTTATAAATGATATATACTCAAAATCTAACACCAAAAGACTCATATATTCACATTAGCCATGAAGCATATATGAAGCAACTGATGACTAAGTGGGTTTTAGGAATTTACTGAGAGCTTTATTAAACTCCTCAAATAACTTGTCTCCTTTACCAATGCTGACCTGTTTTTGTTCTAAACTTTAAAAAACTTATAGCAAAAAAGCTCATTTTCATTCTGAAGTAGAAACAGTGCCTTCCAAGAAAGGCTGTAACTGTATACTTTGGAAAGCTTTTTTACTTATAAAAATGGTTATCTATTCAAAATCAAATACCAACATTCATATCTTAATTGCATCACCCTGTGAAGCATCAGTGATGCGATTGATGGCCAACTGTGTGTTGGCAATTTCACTGAGAGCTCTGTTGATCTCCTCAAGTAACTTGTCTCCTCGATCAATTCCTCTTTGGAGCTTCAGAGCAGCTTCTTCACCTTCCTGCTCAAGCACCCTCATGCTGGCCGTCTGTGAATTGAACAACACTGTGTGACTCAACTATATAAATTTGCTCAAACTATCCTATAATCATCATGGACACTCTGGAGTTATAAAATATCTTAACAAATGAAAATTTTCATGTACACCCTAACTCAACCTGTGAAAGGAAAAATAAATTCTGAATACCTCAGCCCAATACTTCAGGTCTACATTACTAATTTACAAACTTGCCATATATCAAAGGCATTCTTTACACATCCTTTTTTACCTGAAGTTCAGCCGAAGAGTCTTCAGATGGAAGACTTTCAATCAATACATCTATATCCTTAGCATTACGAGCAATGAGCGTGGCAAAGACTCTCTTGTGTTCAGTCATATCTGCAAAGTTAAATATTTTGAAATCAAATAGGTCTTCAACATCATGGTAAGATGTTTGTATAATAACATTACTAAAACTCAGGAGTATATTGTACAACATATCTACATAAAAAAGAGAAACCTGAATACTCATTCTTACCATCAGGATTTTCATTTTGTGAAGGGGTCTTGCCACTTTTATCAAAGCTACATGGTGGTGCTGAATTAAACAAACAGCCTATGCTATTATAAAGGTTCTCTGCTTGCTGTAAGGATAAGAAGTAATCATTTTGTGTTAGGTCTAGTCTTCTGATAAAAAAAGGTGCATATATCAATATAATTACAGATAACTATGATAATCTATTCAGATCTCTTAATGAATCTAACCTTTTTGTACAAGTAAATCACAATACCTTGACTAACTCACTTTTTTGCAGGATTTCCATCTCTGTATCTTGTTATGGGAATCCATATCAGAATTAGATTATGAGATCTACATTCAAGACCATGCTGATGTTATAATTCTGATCTAGTATATCTAAAAGTCACATTCCTCTAACTATTCCTCTTCGCTATACTAAAGATCTGAAACTGGTTTTAATTGTTTAACATATCTCAAAACTAATGATGGCACTTTTGTCAAAAAATATGTCACAGATAAGTAACAACTGTAATTTCATTATCACCAAAGATATAACTACCATATTTTCAACCTAATTTCTTTTTCAATAATGCAAGAAGATACTAAACCACTGCTGCTACTGGTCAGTAACTGTTGAGAAAAAAGATAAGCAAGTTGAAGTAATCCTGATTTGTAATCATTTGAAAAAAGAGAAAAACAACTCTTACTTCCATAATTAAGCAGCAGATTGGAATAAGAACAACCTTTGTACTGATGTCATATTGTATAATGATGAAATTGGGTACAAAGTTTCATGAGTTTGAGGTCTTTTAGGAGGGTGTTATAAATATATCAAGAGTGGTTGAAGTCAAGGACACAATTTCAAAATTAATCTTATTCATTACTTCCATGTAGTAACACAAATCATATAAAATACATGATATATAGCACATCAGGTACCAAGCTATGGTGCATATAGTACATGCCATGTCATTACATAACTGTACCATAAAATTAGGTGATAATAAAGGAGTGACCACCTGATAATGACAGCAGATCATAGACTATCAAACTACCTATACCATAAATGTTTGATGTTTAGGAATCTCACATACCTCATATCTTTGTTATGAGGTTGTGGAGGTAATACCAGAGAAGAAAAGTTTCTTATTTTCATTCATTCTGTCCATTATATGTAAAACTTTCAATCTAATACAAGGCTGTGTGGAACTAAAACAATTTCGATCCTTCTTCCAGCATTATACTGAACTATCATTATTAGAAAATGACACTGTAAACATAGCTTTCCTACTTTTTTCCCTTCAAAAGGATACTCATTGCTATATAAGTAGGTCTACTGAAGTGAAGACTAACAGTATAATCAGATATCAATTAGGCACAGATTTACAAACATAACTGTCCCAAATTTTCATCTGTTTTCAAACAATATGAAACTTAGAAATATCCCTAGAGATTTATAGTTATCAAAGCAAGGAGTCCAAAATACATCTTGCCGCAATCCATATAGTAAAGTTGTGTTAGGTTTCACTATAGTGCAAAGGTCGTAGCTTGAAGCGATGCTATCCTGAACAAATACGAAGTGCACTTGGTAATGAATATCAGCTATATCAGATGAATCAATAACGCAATCACCATGATATTGAATGAATTAGTGACACACTGTCCAGGTTAATGTTCAACAAAAACACTGAAATCTTACTGACAAAACTAATGATTGAGAGAAAATCCGGTCTTCGGCTCACCTGTCTATATATCTACACAAAAAATAAAAAGGAGATGACATAAATATGATAAAGAAGTGGACATAAGAATGATAATACCATGTTAACTGCATCTTGAAGTTGCGACAGGCGGTCTGCCATGATTGTTGTTGTCAAGTCGCTCTTCCAGGGATCAAGAATATAAATGTTTACTAAACCAAATTCATATATATACAAAGGTTGTTGCTGGAATTAAACACAATAAATGCGTGTTAAGATTTATGAATTAAGAATGACAGTCTAGAACACTCTGGCCATATAGTTCTGTTGGTGCTTCCAAAGGGAACAATTCTGGTGCCGCCCCTCTGTTGCTCATCCTCATATGTGTATGCATATGTATATGTATATATATATATATATATATATATATATATATATATATATATATATATATATATATATATATATAGAGAGAGAGAGAGAGAGGAGAGAGAGAGAGAGAGAGAGAGAGAGAGAGAGAGAGAGAGAGAGAGAGAGAGAGAGAGAGAGAGAGAGAGAGAAGAGAGATAGATAGATACACACCCATACATGCATAGCGAGGCTGTGTAAGGGACCCCATAGAGAACTAAGAGAAAGCTGAGAACATCCATACATGCATATACATATATACATATGTACATACATACACACACACAGACACATATGTGTGTGTTTTGTGTATGTATATATATATATATTATATATATATATATATATATATATATATATATATATATATAATATACATATGTGTTGTGTGTGTGTGTGTGTGTGTGTGTGTGTGTGTGTGTGTGTGTGTGTGTGTGTGTGTGTGTGTGTGTGTGTGTGTCGTGTGTGTGTGTATGTAAATGTATACGTATATATGCAAATGTATATGTGTGTGTGTAGGTGTTTTTATATACAAACATATATGTGTGTGTATGTGTGGATATATATGTTTGTGTATATGTATATATATATATATATATATATATATATATATATATATATATATATATATATATATATATATATATACATACATCCGCAGACACACATATATAGATGTAAGTGTGTGTGTATATATATATATATATATATACATATATATATACACACATATGTGTGTGTGTGTGTGTGTGTGTGTGTGTGTGTGTGTGTGTGTGTGTGTGTGTGTGTGTGTGTATGTATGTATATATGTACATATATATACATATATACATAAATACACATGAAAATGAAATTAGCCACAATGAGAACTGAAAAGAAAACGTAACGTTTCGAACTCTTCACGAGTTCCTCTTCAGACAAGAAACGGTTTTTGTCTGAAGAGGAACTCGTGAAGAGTTCGAAACGTTACGCTTATTTTCAAATCTCATTGTGGCTAGTTTCATTTTCAGTTTTGTGTACACGTTATTGTATTTGTGCTTGTGTTCACACACACACACACACACACACACACACACACACACACACACACACACATATATATATATATATAATATATATATATATATATATATATATATATATATATATATATATATATGTATGTATGTATGTATACACACACACACACAACACACACACACACACACACACACACACACACACACACACACACACACACACATATATATATATATATATATATATATATATATATACTTGTGTGTTAAAAAAACAATAACAAATTTATTATATATTCTTCATAACTATTTTTGCTGTAATTTCAACACTCCTTCCCAAATCTGGTCTGTTACCACTGAACAGCATAAATGGCAATTCGACAATGTGCCATCCCAGCGACATTATATCCACTTAAATGCATGCCGTGTCACTGAGAGGCTCGGCAACATTCTTTCCTCCACAAAATGTCTCTGTGTCTTATCCTAGAACCGGCGTGAGAGGGAAGGTTGGTGAGGCGAGAAGTGATTGCGGATTCTGCGTGCATACAGACAACTGCCGTGAATACTGCTCTGTTTTTGTGTTTGTTTTATGGGCAACAGTTCAGTTCAGACCAGGAAATGAAGAAGCAACTGTTAGAAATGAGGTTTTGAAGCCAAGGTAGACAGCCTGGTAGTAGAATATATGAAAATAAGTGAATAAAGCGTGTATTTGTAGGAAATTGTAGATAATTGTTGCAGGAACACAACCATTCAAAGAGAGAATGCTGGAAAAAAACATATACACACAAGGAAAAGGCTTGGCCAGCCACGAAGAATATAAGAAAATCTGGATGAGAGAAAATATAACCAAAAATCATAGAAAACCACTCCAGAAAAACGGAAAAAGTTAATGAACAAATATGGACAAAGGACTGAGGAAGAAAAAACTTGCTCATTTGGAGGATGAGAGGTTTCCAAGCTAAAATGTTGGGACAGACCAAACATTAGCTTTACAGCCAAAAGGAATACATAAATATTATATAGAATTAGTTCATATAAATATAATGGTTTATCCTCTAAGATACTATAATAATTTCGCTAGAACTAGATACAACTGAAGTTATTAATAATTCAGATACAACGTGCATTACTGAATCGAAACTGGACCCCTTCATAGACAATATAACATCAAACCCAAGAGACTATAATATTTGGAAAAAAATAGGGTAAATGGAAACGAAGGGACGTTGCCCAGTTAACAAATTATTATGATGTGAGAGATTAAACAAGACTCCATAGTGGAACATGTGGCAATTGAGGTAGAAATCACCGGGGTAAACATATTGATAACCACAGTGTACATGTCATCTCATACATCGGTGTGGTCTCAAGAAAATTACCAAAAATAAATTCAAGAGACATTAAAGTGCCCGGAAGAAGTGGTAAAATGCAAAAGAAATGCTTGTAAAAGGGGGTTTTGATAGCAAAATTGACTGGAAGAGTTTCGATCCCAGATCCCAGCCATATTCGTAGAATGCAACATTACTAGAAATCATAAATGACTATTGCCTTTTCCATATTAGGGCAAAATAGACAGTCTATTTCATCATCATAAAGATGATAAAATCGATAGTACTGTGCTCTTCTAGGAAAAGGTGACCATAGTAAACTAAGTAGTATCTTCTACCGAAAGTACTTATCGTAAATATGGAAAGAAAGGGGAAATGGAACTACAAGTGTTGATTATAGAATTATAGAATAAAGGTTTCTTTGATGGTATAAACTGGGAAAAAATCCTGAACGAAGAGAATATTGATGTACAATATTCAAAATTTTGCAAAGCCTATAAGATAGTCGATAAATATGGATTAAGATTCACAACTGAAACAAGAAATGTCCAAAACTGGTTTATGATAATAAAGGCAAGAAAAAAAATGCACTCCTTTGAAAAAAGGTTCAGAAGACATAGATCTAAAGCAGTGTATGAAAGATATATAATAGAAGAAATTAGTAAACCCAAAACGCAATAGAAAAAAGGATATAATCAACGCATGTCCAAATCAGCCAAATTTCTTCTTGAACTATTTAAATAGTAAGACAAAAAGTAGAGATCAAATTATCGCCATGAGACAAAACCTACGAAAAGGGTTAGACAAGATTAAAACAAATATACCAGACACCTTTGCTATTAATATTACAATATTCAGTGAGACTAGGAAAGCTACCCAAAGCTTGAAATGTCGCCAACAATACACCTTTTTATGAGCAGCGACAAGCAAAAACCTCTAAATTATAGACCAGTTTCATTAACCAGCGCAACATGTAAGCTTCTAGATAGAATAATTAGGAAACAATAGTTTGAGGTAGAGAAGTTCAGTTGAAGATTGTTTTTATGATAGTTTCTGAAATATTATGAGTATGTACTAAGGCTTTAAAAGGTGTTAGAAAAGGTGTCACTTAGAAAACTATCATGGAAATTAGAACACTTAAGTGGAGTGAAAGGCAAATTCCTCAAGGGGATGAAAGACAAGTGAGCACAATAATTAGAGGGAAGCACTCTACATGGAGACAAGTAACTAGCGAAAGACCTTGGCGCCGATAATGTTTGTTCTTTTCATCAATGAATTGGGGTCAAACATAAGTCTAGTTAGTTAACTTGATATGTTTGTAGACGCGAAAATACAACTAAACGTATAGACGGGGCCTTATGACCAAAGGGACATCGAGAACCTATTCATGTGGTGTTGTGCTTGGAAATTGGAATTCAACACCAATAAAGGCCATGTAGTCAGATTCGGGGAAAGTAAAAATTGAGTCCTGTGCCAATACAAATTAGGTGACGCAATATTAAACACAGCAGATGGGGGGCGTACCTAACTTTTGCATACATAATACACACACACACACACACACACACACACACACACACACACACACACACACACACACACACACACACACACATATATATATATATATATATATATATATATATATATATATATATATATATATATATATATATATATATATATATATATATATATATATATATATATTATATATATATATGTGTGTGTGTGTGGTGTGTGTGTGTGTGTGTGTGTGTGTGTGTGTGTGTGTGTGTGTGTGTGGTGTGTGTGTGTGTGTGTGTGTGTGTGTGTGTGTGTGTGTGTGTGTGTGTGTGTGTGTGTGTGTGTGTGTGTGTGTGTGTGTGTGTGTGTGTATGTATGCATGCAAGCATTACATTTTGTAGTAAACAATTATATTCTTGATCCCTGAAAGAGCGACGCTGATTGGCTGAGAGAGACATCATAACAACAACAGCCATGGCGGACCGCTTGTCGCAACTTCAAGATGCTGTTAATATGGTATTATCTCTCATATCTCCACTTCTTTGACGTTTCTGCTTCAGTTTTTTGTTGTTATTTGTTTGTTGATGAAGCCTGATGAGGAGACGATAGGATTTTGGGGGATTATAGGCTTCATCTGTTAGTTTTTGAGGCACTTCCTTGATGTATTTTCTGGAAGTCAAGAAATGTATTTGTAGTAATTTAAGCGGTAATAGTTCCTAATAAAACCGCGTGAAGACAGGTAAGATACAGAGAGAATAGCCATAGAAACGTAAAATGGAGACGCGAGTATCGGTACGTTTAATGTTAATAGTAGCAGTAGTGTTTTAGAACAAGTCAGTTATTATCCAGACTAGAATTTGTTCAAAAATTATTTGGTCAAATTCTGTCCGCACAAATGTAGTTCTCGGGTAACTTTCCGCACACGCTTAGTTCTTTTTTAATCATCTTCTGCACTTAAAATTCTTTTGACCTTTCCGTGCACTTGTTTCATCATCAGTCCACAGATCCGTCCGCGCAAATGTAGCCAAAATGATGTTTTCCATGCAAGAAAAATACTCTGCAGTCTGAGTTATTATATTGGTTGTGTGCTCTCCAAATCCACTTGAAACTTGCTTTGATCAGAGATGGATGGCCTCCATTTATTATGTAAGTGGTACAGTGTAAAGTAATTGTAAAAGCCTATGTTTATAAGGAAGTGACTACTGGTATGGCAGAAAAAACCCTGATTGGTGTCCAAAGCATGCATGGTGAAACAAACAAGATGGCAGCGTCTTTGCACGAGAAAAGGATTCCACTGAATATTTACAGAGGATAACAATCAGGATTTGAGAAAAAATAATGTATCGAATGGTTACCTTGATGTAAAATAAGACACCTTTCATCTATGGCATAAGGTGCGCAAATCAAAAATTAAGAAGATATGAGATGAGATAGAGCACGTAAAAAAGATTCCACTCTCAATTAGGTTAGGTTAGGGTAGGTGCGTACTCATTTCCAGGAAATCAAGGTTTTATACACATATGTCCTGTACACCTTGCCATAAGAAATCAGATATGGCTGCCATACACATAACCTCAGCCTAGTTTCAAAGGTCATCAAGCCACCATATTTAAGATTGCACTTTAGATGGATTTGTACTTGATGATCGACAGTATTCTAGACACTGAACCATCTTATTTTATCATAACACATATGATAACCTTTGAACATCAATGGCAGGCTTGAGGGTTGTGATGAATATACACGTGTCTTCTAAACATATACAGCATATTTGGCAGAAAGCAAAGATAAGTCTGTAATTGTTTATCAGATTTTCTGTGTTCAACAGTGCCATACCTCCATGCATGGTGTTCTGGTGATGATAAACAGACCTTCAATATGTATATAGGTCAGTCTTGATTTCCATAGCAAGTTACAGTCAAATGAGGATCCAGACACTGAATACAATTACTTCATTTGGCTCTGAATAATTATTACATAAACTATAATTTTTTTGTATACTGTTTTATTTCTAAAATGGTGATATTTAACCAGTGCTTAGGTAAAGAAGAATAGAAGTAATAGTCAAATTACATTAAAATAACTTGATAAGGTGTATGTTCTAATCTTCACAGAGTAAAGGTAAACCCACAATAACTTGTGATTTTTAAAATGAAAATAGTAACAATAAAACATTATGATTCTTACACTCATCACAGTCCAGAATATACCTCACTAATAACATGAGATATTCAGGTTTGTTTTTATTTCTTTACAGCAAGCAGAGAACCTTTATAACAGCATAGGTTGTTTGTTTAATTCAGCACCGCCATGTAGTTTTGATAAAAGTGGCAAGACCCCTTCACAGAATGAAAATCCTGATGGTACGTAAAATAAATGTGTTGGTGTATATTGGTTATAAAGGTGATTGTCCTCGTATGTTTTATTAATGTCATTATATAAGCACCTTGCCATGATGTTGAAGACCTAATATTTTTTCTTTTTGAATATCTAATATTTGCAGATATGACTGAGCACAAGAGAGTCTTTGCCACACTTATTGCTCGTAATGCCAAGGATATAGATGCACTGATTGAAAGTCTTCCATCTGAAGATTCATCAGCTGAACTTCAGGTGAAAAGGATATACAAGACACAGTTTGATGTTGCTTTTATATATATATATTTGTATTATAGCTATATTTTGTGTTATATTTATATATATATATATATTTTTTTGGCACATAGTAAGACATGTCTCAAAACTATAACTCTAAAATAGACCTGGAAGAAATAGTTATATATTGAAATATGCAGAGATAAAAAGTGTTGTTCAACTTTTCCCCACTAAGTCATCTTTACCCCACTTGAGGGCAGTTCAGATAATCCGATAAGAATAATATACTTTTTTATATGTTATTACAGACAGCCAGCATGAGGGTGCTAGAGCAGGAAGGCGAAAAAGCTGCTCTGAGGCTTCAGCGAGGCATTGACAGAGGAGACAAGTTACTAGAGGAGATCAACAGAGATCTTAGCGACATTGCCAACACCCAGTTAGCCATTAATCGTATCACAGATGCTTCTCAGGGTGATGCAATTAAGATATGATTCTTTTGGTGATAGATTTTGAAAAGACAACCATTTTTTAAGAAGCTAAGAAGCCTTCCAAATTTAACTGGTACAATATCCCATCTAGGGCATTGTATCTAATTCAGAATGAAAATAAGCTTTGTTGATGCAAGTGTGTCCGAGTTTACCACATTGGTAGATCAAAATCCTTTCTAATACTACTATTTACAGTGAGAAAGAATCTGTTGGTTGTCAGCACTTTGTAAATGTGTTCAGTGAGTTTATTCCAAGAAATGTGTGTGTAAGATAATGAGTGACGCCAACCTACAATACGAATGTTTATTTATTTTACAGCAATTATTTTCCTTTTCCTTCTTTAACGGAATATCATGTTACCAATTTCACATATCTATACGTGATATGTCTGTCCTGGATGCTGTTGACTCGGCAGATAATTTTAAATAGTCAATCAGTCTGTCCTGGATATTTCCCAGTCAGTAGAGTTGCTTATATCTAATGCTACATAGATTGGAACAGAAAACTGGTTAATAGTAAGGACAGTAGACTGGAAAGTAGTATGAAGTAGGGCTCATTCAAGGACTTTTGCAAATTGAATGCTGTTTATGTAAAGTGGTGATCATGACACACTAAATAAAATAGTAGTAGAACATTTTTGCTACTGGTTAGAAAATATTAGATAGAATGAATAAATTGTATAAGTTATTGCTATTATATCATATTTCCCCATATAGTTGCGTCTATAATTTTATAAAACTTCCAATAGTTTAAACTGATGGCATAAGAGAAACACTCCTTAGTTGTTGAACACAGTTTACTCAGTTTAAAGATATTGCTTAAGTTTAATTTAGCATGATCAAAAAAATACCCAATGTGAAAAAATAAGGAGAATAGCTTAAAGTTCCTAGTTCTACAGGAAATAAATTTGATAAGGTAAAATGTTCCGAGGTGTACTTTCCTATGTGCAGTTTTAGAGAGCCAACTACTAGAACGGATTTAAGTTATGTAAGGCCACGGTTAAGGAGTTGCTTTTATGTGTGCTTGTGATATTTATTAGGGATATCCTGAATTTTCCCAAGAACAGCAGATATGACTGTATGCTGTTTAACCTCATTATTTTCATTCCCCTGTTTACCTCATTTCATCTACATCCTTTAGAATTAAGATCATTATTCTGACTTGTTTACAGTTTTGCAGTCTACTCTATATGGAGTCAGGTGTGAGTTGGTCAAGTTGATCAGGTATCCCGAGTGGTAGGATGTTCAGTATCATTTCCGTTTGGTTGAAATGGTAAAATGAGAATAGTCATACAGGTATGACAATGAACAAAAATAAAAGGTTTAGAGATTCTTCCAAACAACTATTTAAATTTGTTTTCTTGGACCTTAAATACAGTGTAGATTTTACTGAATGCAGAAAAGGTATCAATGAGAATGACTATCTTCACAATACAAGAGATGTATTTGACCGGCTTCGAGTTTATCTTTGTCAGAAATATTTGTATTTCTGACAAAATATGTTTTTGAAACCTGTCAGATATATCACTTGTATTGTGAAGATATTCATTCACATTCATACCTTTTCTACATTTGACAACATGAGTACATGAATGCCATTGCATGTTGTTACTGAAAGGGTAATGTATT